ATGAATATGTAAAGGCAATATGACTAAAGCCCTAATGAGTAAACTTCTAATTCAGAGTTTGAAATATAATGATCATATGTTTTGTTTTCTTGGACAGAGATGGAACTTATACCCACAATACGCCATTTTAGCCAAAGTAGAAGTTTCAGAGTAACCACTCTATGATGGTATGACTTATTGATGCTGATGCTGATATTTGCTGTCAAAAACTCAGATCATTTTTCACTCTGGACTTCATAATAATTGATTCAATTGAAAGCAAGAAGAATCTTTGTCGCAGTTCTTCTGAATACTACGAATCAGTATAGGTTTTCAAGTGGAACATGAATTACCTGCCGTATACTAATGCAAACAGCTACGATTTTTAAGTCTGAAAGTCGTCATAGTCTGTTTTGTAGACGAAACCTTATATTATGCACAACACATGAAAATTGCATATTCACCTGTTGTATTTGTTAATAACAAGGCGACAGGAACGGCGATTGCTGTACTGATTATACATAAGGTTATCCCAGCTATAAAAACTTTGAATGCAGTTGATGATAGAAAGCTTTCATTCGTTCTATTAGAAAAAGAAAAAAGAAAACATCAAATTTCTTGTTTCATCGTTTACTGCAAAGTCGACGGAACTTCAATAATTGTGGAAAAATCAACATCGAATTGTTGAGAAATCTCATATGATGTTTGTGATGGATAAAGTGGACGACCTTGCTATGAACAATCGAAAGGCCATTCTTGCTTTTTATATTCTGCAAACAACTTACCGACATTAGTGTCATTGTATATTGCGGCACATATGAACCGAAGACAGCTGCACTACTCGTAGGCATGTTTCTTGTTTTTCTGCTTATTGATGTCGGTGATATGCACAACTAGTGAGAAAACTCTGTTATGTAAGATTGTATCGATGAACAAGACAGCTTCATGTGTAATGGCTGCTTTTCATCGACACTTGCTAATGGTATGTTGTTGAGAATGTTATTTACACAGATTGATGCAATTTCAACTAATGTATTTTTGCATGTTTTTATTATAACTGAAACGAAATGCAGAATGAGAATATGTGTCGTAAATATCAGAGATGAATGCTAAAGGAACAATGTAGATTGTTGATTCTCATGCATTCTCAGGATCTTAGAATAGAGCTAGCTATTTGTACTATCACTCAGTAGTATGTAACATATAACATGGCAATTAACTAGAATCTATTAGAGTCGGTTAGAATACATCCGATTTCATAAAAGCCCATCAGGTATCTCTAAATTTAATTATAGTCTTCATCAAAGAATTGAACTATGGATCTGTATAGATCCTATTTTATTTCAGAAAACTTAAAGAATCCATCTCTATTCATCAAATTTCACTAGTGTTGGACTTTTAGCCATGTTTGCTTTTTGTTGTCTGAACAAAATAACAAACATAATATTTCAAGCATCACTGAACCGAACTTCGATGGATCTGACATCGTACACCACGTTCACCAAACCACACCTACAAGAAATTTCAACAGCTATTGAAGAAACTCAAAAACTGTTCTTCTGAAAAGTAACATTTTGTCTATGAACAATGCAGTTCGTTGTGAATTGGAGCCTATGATTTTGAAAACCTCATGAAGTTATTGATGGATTAAATGATGACACAACTCTGTTGTTTTCATAGATCATAAGATGTCTTCTACGGGTGTGCAGGAAAACTCAATTCAGTGTCAACACCAAAGATATAGGATGTATATGAAATATAGTAAATATACAAGATATCAGAGATATTAGAGTACAGGATATAAATAAGATATACTCTAATACGGATTTCTGCATTTGCAAACACTCCATTATATATTCAAGTATGGGTGTATGTTTGAATGTTGCTCTGAGATTTGTATTCTTTCACATAAAAATCCTACACCCATGCCCACAGTCTTATTTCCAAATTGTAAATATGGCAAAAATAGTTTCTAGGTTTTTGAAAGATCCTACATTCTTATAAGACAGGAAAGACTTTAATTCCCTCAAGATTTTGTTGGAAGCAATTTTCTCGATTCAAGTCACTATTTCGATTCTTTATGAGAGTTACCATTATACGGAAAAAGTCGAAATTAAATCTGTATGATCAAATTTCGTGAGTTTTTCTCAGTAGAAATTTGACTTTTTGTTGAAACTTATCGAGTTTTTTTGTAATAATAATGTCAAACTATTGTCTGTCTGTTTTTGATTACACAGTCGGAATTTACAATGTACGTGAGTATGTTGATTGTTTCGAAATTAAAAGGGAAATTCTTCGTACACACGAAGTACACAGTTTTGTACAGTTAAAGATTTCTTTTCTATTGATACATAGAAATGAGTATTTTATATTCATGGTAAGTTATTGAAAAATTACATTTAAAATTAGTTTGTTTCATTATTACGAAACCATTAAATACATTAGTCCTAACTCAAAGTGACGAAAAAAAGAGCGATTATCATTCCAAAAGAAAAAGAACTCCAAATCTCAAGGTTGAATCAAAAGAAGACGGGTTTCAAATCATAGTGTTATTAAATGAATAATATAAAATGAATATATATGATATATTTCTCCATAATATCATCAACCCCTCAGATAAGAGCTGGACGAAATCCTTGGTTAAATAACACAATTGGATAGCACAAATGTATGTCAGTACATCGTATATCAATAAAAAAAAAGTTGACTTTGACTTAATACATTCATCATTCAAAACCACAAGGCGTTACCCAATCACAAATCATTTGTTGGTTATATAATTCATTCTTCTGTTGTTACTGGAACAAGCATCAGTATTTATGAAAGAATCACATGGGCTTTGATATGGCATAGAATCATCAACATCGACCCTTACTGATTTTAAAATTGACAATACGCTACTCAATTCAACTGTTTCTCGAACAAAACATACTTATGTGTAAACATATCCTGTAAAAAAATGAGAATATATTAAATAAATCAGTTTTAACGTTAATTAAAGATATCTACAATCTAAATGAATAAAGTAATTTGTTGTTCAACATTGTGTTTTTATCAAAGATGTCTCTAGTAAAAAAAAATTACAGATACATGCTATACAAGATTCGCATATTTGTAAATGAATACTATTGACGACTGTATAATAGAATAAAAACAAGAAAAATAAATACTGAACTAAGTGAATCTGAAGTAGAAAATGAAATGTTCTTTTTTTGCTGTCACACAACAATAATGTAAAGGAGAAGAAAAGAAGCAGTTAACCACTAAAAGCTCAAGTAGAAAATGAAATATCTTCATTTTTGTTGTTGTTGTGAGTATGACGGATATTTTTTTTTTTCGAACGTTATCCTAAGTGTGTATTGAACAATTCAGTTGGCAAACTGTAAACGGTTTAAATCACATTCACACTACAGAAACGTGTGTTTTCGATGATTGAAAATTTTTTAAATACATTGTTGGCGATGAACAATGAGAATAAAAGAGGTGACACTTCAATAAGAAGAAAATGATTCAGATGAGTATGATTCAACGAAGAGCTCGATCAAAATTGATCAAAAATGTACTTGATTAGATTGAAATAAATGTTAACAAAGTTTTGATTAATTCAGATGTTATCCGTAGTGTTATTTTGTTATTCAAGAAAGTAATGGAAATATCATAAAATGCTATTGAGTTAACTTCATTTTTTCGTATCAAAATATAAATGACCATTCATAAAGGCCGTCCAAGAAAAGGAGAAATAGCGAAAAAGCGAAAAAGGGAGGATGTCAGTCGAAACAGGACATTTACGGACAAAGGAAATAGATCAAAAAACGTTAGTTTCATTTGGACACTTGTGAAAACTACGAACACCATCAAAGCTGAAAAGAAAAGATACAGTTCGAAATGAATATCATACAAATGTACATTCTAGATGGTGCTTTTTGTTTTCAACGCAAAAAAAGCCTTTTTTTGGGAACATGGATAGTCATAATTATATTGATTTTTCTTCATACAAGAATTGTTATCTTTGACAATTAAAAATCAAACTAACCATGAATGTTGATGTCAATCGTCGTTTTTAGGTGTATTTACAAGTTACCTGTGCCTGACTTGCTCGTTTATTTGTAAAAGGGTGGAGCGTGAATCTGTTTTCAGAAGTAAAATGATTCAAGCAAGTCATACGATGTTTCGATGATTCATTTTTTGGATTCTGACCGATAGCGGGTATTTGTTAGTCGTATGTTTATTTATTTGAAACTATAAGAAACGTGTGGGCAACCAAGAGCGATCATCTCGAATGATGATATCTGGTGGTGAGGTAGTTGGTAGATGATACAATTAGTCAGATTTATTACAGTGCTATTGTGATTAATTCCAGAAGATTTTAGGAAATGTGGTCACATTGTTGCAGTGGGCTCTTATAGTAGAAAAATTTCATTTTGTTGATATGTTATGTTTATTGCTGAAAACACAATTTTAATTGGTTAAATGGATTTTGATTCGGAAAGAACTGAATGTGAATTTGATTTATGTTGAATCGATAAATACCAAGGCACTTTTATATGATGACGTAGACTTGGCCGATTTTCGACTGAAAACATGAAAAGGAAATAGAAAGTGTTCGACCTAAACGAGAAGAAAAATTAGTTTCTGAATGATGTACAGATCGAAGTAAATGTCATATTTTTATTTATCTAACTCTGGTGGACTTTGACCGTTAGAGAATATGTGGTTATTTTTTTGGTTTTATTCTCGCTGGAATTTTGTCAGATCAATTGATTATCTTGTCTGTTTGTATTTGGTACTTCGACTATTACAGATTAAACAACTTCAATTGCTGTAAGAGAATCATTTATGTGCCGTTGGATATATTAGATTGACAATTTAATAGATATAACTAAGATTATGTATTGTTGATGATGCGTCTATCCAAGAGAAAACAATAATTTTTAGTATAGATAAAATGGAATCGTCATAAACTTTTGTGATTGGTGGCACTTATGTTTTAAGTTATTCTTATTTTATTATTTATGTCTACGACTACGATAATCGACATTTTCATCTGAAACATGATTAAAGTCTTCTATGCTGCATTTTAATTCTAAATTTGAACATATATCATAAGTTTATTACATTTATGCTTGATTATTTTCCTGATTAACAATGGGATATATAGCCATTGTTGCTACACCATATTGATTATGTTTATTTCGACTCATTAACATATATATTCTTGATCATCTCACGATGTGCTCCAGATATTTTTAAAAATTTAGTAATCATCTTTTCCTTAAGTACCATAACCTACAATTAAACTAGCAAAGTCAAGTTGAGTTCATGAACAACTAGGTACAGTGTAAAATTCTGATGAATAAAATTGGAAGAAACTGTGTGATGCATCAAGTGCTATCAAGATAGGATCAACTTCAGCAATAGCTGATTGAAGATCTAATTCACTTTGAGATTTTATGTCGACATATGTCTAAAACAAAAATACAGAATCTTTAACAAATTACTTTGTCATAGCATGATATAAACTCACAGTACAATTAACACCGATTGTTGCAGGATTGTAGCGGCATTTATCTTTGACACCTTCTTATGGATAACTTTCTTCGGTATCTAAACCATAAACTTTGACATATGCATAAGCATTAGACATAAAACCACCATTGCAACCATAGTTG